GGTAGGCGCAGCGGGCGGGCGGATTCCTGGTCTCGGGGCAGCACAGCCTTGGGGCACACTGGGACCAGGCACGTGCAGGAGAGCCTGGCTGGCACCCCCGGCCCCGGCGCCGCGCACAAAGCTGCCCTGTCTCCTCAGCCGCCAACTCCGGAGACGGACTATCCGGACCTGTCCCCCGAGGAGCTGGACGGTTACCCGGAGGAGGACTACTCCCCGGTGGGCTCCTACGAGCATGGCGCCTACTCCCACCTGAGCCCCGAGCCGGGCTGGTACAGCCACAACAGCCTCGAGGGCCAGGCCTTCTACCTCGACCGCTACGCCTCGGACACGGTACGAGCCGGGGGGCTGGCGCCAAGCGTGCGCACGTGGGCTGTGCGGCCGGAAGGGACTGTGCTGAGCCCCCCGTCCAGCCTGCACGGCCCAGCCCAGAGCCCCGTGGGGGAGCTGCACACACCAGCCATGGGCCCTGGCCCCGGGAGCACCATGCCAGGGCTCCGCCGGCCTGGGGGTGCGAGCCTCCTTTCGCCAGGGCAGGCCGTCCGTGCTAGGCCCCTGCAGGGAGCGGTGGAGCTGCTGAGCCAGGCACCTTGGAGCCCCTTGAGGCAGGGCCAGGCGGCTGCGCTCCATGGACTTGGCGGAGGAGCTGGTCACTGCTCCGGGAATTACCTGCCTTCTCCAGCCCAGCAAGGGCCGTGTGGCTTGGCTGGGAAGCTCAGGGTACTTGTATCACATGCCCAGGCCGCACCGGGCCTGGCCTCTGAGCCCTGGCGCACTAGCGACCGTGCGAGGCCAGAGGCTGCACCCATGCTCAGTCCTGGCCGCAGAGCGGTGCCAGAGGGCACGGAGGACCCGGGTTCCCTGCACGCTCGGTGCTTGTGGCACCCAGGGGAGAGTCAGGTGCCACCCAGCTGATTAGCAGGGTGCCCGCAGCCCGGCCTGCTGGGCGAGTCCCTGCTCCTGCCCCCTCCCCCCCACGTCGGCTGTCCCTGCGCAGCAGGCGTTGCTGGCCGGGCGAGACGTTCTGGCTGCTTTCAGGTCTCTGTGCCAGGCAGCCACCGGCGAACCAGCAGCGGGTCCAGCCAGGACAGCAGCCCCTTCACCAGCTGGCAAAGCAGCTTGCCGGCTGTCCTGCTCCAGAAAGAGGAGAAGGTGAGGGGGACAGCTGGGGGCGACCTCCCCTGGGCCATGGCTCCTGCACTTCTGGGAATAGGCCTGAGCCCCTGCAGGGTCCCTGGCAGCTGCTGGCGGGGCTGGGCTGGTGGACCAAGCGGTGCTGGAATCGAGACCGTTGAGGGCCCCGCAGGCACCCCCAGACCTGAGCTCCGCAGCGGCTCCTTGGTGTGACCAGAGAAGGCAGGAACTGCTCTGGGACTGGTCCAGTTCATTTAGACCGCACCCCCCCACACACCCTCTGCATCCCCTCTAGTGCCTGGGGGGGCGGCTGCTGCGGTACGTGGCTTCCTGGGGCCGGTTACTTTCCTGGGGAGCTTGGGATCCACATGCCCAGCCGAAAACCCAGGTGTCCCCAGTGCCAGATGCTCTTCTGGGGTCTGGGGCTATTAGACGATCTGGGTCGCAGGCTCAGGCGGGACGTGTGTGCAGGTGGGGGTGAGGGCTCCAGGGTTGGGGCTGGCATGAGACACTGGCACAAAGAGGGTGCATATTAGGTGTGCGTACGGTACCACGCGGGAGGGGTGGCGAGTGCTTTGGAGGATGGCTCAAACGGGAGAAACAGTCGAAGGTAAACAGGGTGAAGTTCAATAAGGAACGTGCAAAGGAACAGCCCGTCTCTCTCACAGAATGGGGCTATGCCTAGACTGCAGTTTTCCCAGGGTACCAGAGCTATTCCGGAAAACCTCTGCCATGTCCAGGGTACGCATCCGCTTTTTTTGGAACAGTTTCTGAAAAAGTAGGCATGTTCTTTCGGCATCCCTGCATTCCTCATTTCATGAGGAAGGGCTCTTCCTTTGGCCCCGTGTAGATGGGCCAAATGTCGAAAAAGCCTCTTCCAAAAAAAGAATCGGAAAAAGGTTCGCAAACCGCAAACCCCAATGTGCGCATCTTTTTCCAAAAAAACCTGCAGAGTAGACCTTGCCTGGGAAGCGACTGTCTAGGCAGGCGTCCTGCAGAAAGGGATCTAGGGGTTAGAGTGAACCACAAGCGAAATAGGAGTCAGCAGTGTGACGCTGTTGCAAAAAAAGCCAACATGATTCTAGGCTGCATTAACAGGAGTGTTGTGAGCAAGACACGAGGAGTCGTTCTTCCGCTCTGCTCTGCGCTGGTTAGGCCTCAGCTGGAGTGTTGTGTCCAGTTCTGGGCACCGCATTTCAGGATAGAAGTGGAGAAATTGGAGAAAGTCCAGAGAAGAGCAACAAGAATGATGAAAGGTCTAGAGAACATGAGCTATGAGGGAAGGCTGAGAGAATTGGGTGTTTCGTTTGGAAAGGAGCAGACTGAGCAGGGACATGATGGCAATTTTCAACTATCTAAAAGGGTGTCACAAGGAGAAGAGAGAAAAATTGTTCTCCTTGGCCTCTGAGGACAGAACAAGCAGCAATGGGCTTAAACTGCAGCAAGGGAGGTTGAGGTTGGACATTAGGAAAAGGTTCCTGCCTGTCAGGTGGTCAAACACTGGACTAAATTGCCCAGGGAGGTTGTGGAATCCCCGTCTCTGGAGATATGGAAGAGCAGGTTGGACAGACGTCTATCTGGGATGGTCTAGAATCTCTAGATGGTGCTTGGTCCTGCCATGAGGGCAGGGGACTGGACTTGACTTTGCAAGGCCCCTTCCAGTTCTAGGGTTCTGTGAGAAGATTGGGGTGCAGGAGGGAGCTCAGAGCAGGGGGTTGGGGTGCAGGGTCTGGGAGGGGGCTCAGGGCTGTGGCAGGGGCTTGGGTGCAGGGCACTTACCTGGGGCCGCTCCAGTTTGGTGTGGGGGGAGCCTGTTCTGCAGCTGAAGGCAGGGCAGGCACCGCCTCCCACAGCTAACGGGCCCCTCGATAAGATCTTTTTGCAGGGCCCCTTGGCCCGGGGCTGCAGATGCTCATGGCCCAGGCAGGCCGGGCGGCCGGCCCAGCAGCGGTGCTGGCGGGGAGCCGGC